GCTCTCTGACATAACGTCAATATATGCTAGACTTTACTCATAAGTTATACCCTTGGACTGGGTTAACTTCACAAGGTTTAAGGACTCTCACTTTCTCATTGGACACCTTCATACTTTCAAGTATGACTTCGTTTACATTTCCACATTTGTCTTATGGATAGGTTTGCGTCCCATTGTAGGGTCTTGAGATAGTAGCCGAAACAATGGCTAGCTCTTCTCCCCCACAATTTTACCCTTTGCCAAACATCATGGAACAATCCCATGTATTTTCCATTGTTTTACTTATTGAACTTGTCAACCACTATATGTATCTAATTGTTTACCAATGATATGATCTCTCTCGATTAGCATACCACAAACAATTCAGATTTTATTAGAAATATCATCTAATTACTTACCAATGGTATTGATCAAGGCAGCTTGAGATGTCATAAGTAATTCAGATGCATTCCAGTAATGGAAATCCCATCTAATTACTTACCAATGACATTTCATTTATGTAACATTATTTACCACAAGTAATTCAAATAAATTCCTAATTCAATTGTCTAATTACTTTCCAATGGTATAAACTTCATACATATACCATAAGTAATTAGACTTTAAGTTCAATATGAGCACATAATTGAGCTCTCATGCCAAATTGTTTTCCAATGTTATATATCTATATATATACCATAAACAATTTTGGCAACTAGCTCCACGTTGATAATCATAGTGAAATTGTTTTCTAATGGTATAGTGTACTTATACCATAAACAATTCTGATCTAATGCTTATCTTGATGACGACGACCATCATTTGGCAAGCTTATTAAATCCCTATTAAGGATCAATCATAGCTTCATTTCCCTTGCCCTCATGGCATAGGAAAACATCAAGTCCTAAACCACATACATGATAAATAAATTATCATGTCTTCACAACTATCACAGGAACTAGAATTCCTTATCGCTTGTAGCTTTCTCGTAATGCACATCTTTAAACGTGCATTAACCAAATTTCATCTCCAATACATTGGAGGTATACTCTTTCACAACTATGTTCAGCTTACTTTGAACATAACCTATGCAAACATTCTGGCTTTGATAGACTTGACAAACAAGTCCCTACTGGCCTCTCGTTATAGGTTTCACATACCTATGGATGTTCATATTTTTTCCACTAGATAGTTTACTACTATCCAAACCACCTTATAGTCCATGAAGGGCTAGCATAAGTTCTTCCATCCTCTCATGCAGCACTTTGAATGAACAAATGTCCAAATTAAATTGGTACAATTATCATTCATCCATGCCACATAAATGAATTGGACCAATGCGATGAACGCATTTAAACTTGGTGGTTGATCACATTTTGGAAATATGAACATAATATTTATCATTATGTAAATATATAATTTACATAGGTACACCCATACTGGATAACATATGTATATATACACACATACATATGTCTACTCCTCAAAGGAGAATACAATCGAAGTCAGGATTAGAGAGACATTCATCGGTCTCTATGTCAGAGTACTCCTCCTCGTTCGCCGATTCCTCAACTTCCTCTTCTTCCCACATATTCGCCATCGAGTCCACATGGGTGCCCATATTGTCCACATTGGGACCCATTAAGTACCAATTATAGATGTGTATACCATCTAGAGTCCAATAATTGGTTGGATGCTCTCCACCAATGTCATTATATAGCCACATCGTCATGATTAGGGTCAAAACACTTCCAGGAACATATATGTATATATTTACATTTAGATTATTCAATCTCAATTCATGCAAAGAGAAGGTATAAGCATATAAACGGTATCTCACAACCATCCAGTGTAACTTCTGGAATGTACACAGATTAACCATGAAAAAAACTGATTAATTATTAATCCATGGAATTAACCAATGGCAAATGATCCATGCCAAACTGTTAAATATATACACAGCGAACATATATACCAATATATATCATCCATGCTTATACGATCATTCTCAGAAAGAAAGTTTTCCTTTCAATACATGGAACTGCATGATATACTGTGCTCATCATACTTAGGGGTCGTTTGGAAGTTGAGATTTCAAGTGAGGTATTTAGCCAATACATGTAATGATAAGATTAAGTCGTTTATTGGTTCAATTTGAGTTAGAATGCATGTATTACATTTTTCCTGGCCCACCCACAATCACTCAAAATGAATGATTGTCAATCTCTACAAAAAGTAGAGATTGTTAACAAGGGATTGTCTACCCTACTTTTTGCTCAATCATTATCTTTCCAAACAAGGTATTTTCCTAATACATGCATTGAATCAATACATCAAATAATAATACATGAACTGATTAAATGCATCTATTTGGAGCATCTCAACTTCCAAACATGCCCTTAGAATCAAAAGAGAAGAGAAACAGAGTATTACCTGATTCTAGGATTAACCTTAAGTCCATAACAATGTCTGATGAAAGGACACGATGCTTCTTGGCCAACCGCCATAACTGCCTTTTCTTTACATCGTTTCTCGGCAAATGTCCAAACATTGCCGATGCAAAAAATTACAGAAAAACACACCAACTATATATATATATATGCGGCAATCATATACACACAACGGCACAATTTATCGAGATACGAAGATTAATTGAACTCTAAAGCAACAATTATATAAATAATCAACCCCATTTATATAATCATGTAAGGAAGTGGTTAAGCACATTACACGGGCCTGTATAAGATCCAGCATAACCTTTCTCCCAACAACTCGAGTTGTTGGGACCAAATGGTTCTTGACATGGTATCAGAATCTAGAACCGAAAAATCATGTGTTCGAATCTCCACGACCCCCAATATTAACCGTTGTCTTTCAAGCACATTGTATGGTGTGCCTGTGCAAACTTCAAGCCCACGGGTTGGCTTTCGTTTGAGGGGGCGTGTTAGAGAATGGTATAAAATCCAACATAACCTTCTCCCAACAACTCGAGTTATTAGGATCAACTGGTTCTTGACACGGTATCAGAGCTGGTTTGTTCTTGAGGTCACGTGTTCAAGTCCTCACGACCCCCAATATTGACCGTTGTCTTTCAAAGCACATGGTATGACGGGCATGTGCAAACTTTCAAGCCCATGAGTTGGCTTTCGTTTGAGTGGGAGTGTAAGGAAGTGGTTAAGCACCATACACGGGCCTGTATAAGATCCAGCATAACCCTTCTCCCAATAACTCGAGTTATTGGGACCAACTGGTTTATGATAAATCAACCCTCGAAATCCACTTTATGCATGAACAGGAACCGAGTGTCCCACTGAATTAGCCAAAGTGTGATGCATTTTTTCTTCTACTATTTTCTTTCTGTTTAACAGAGCCATCAAAACAAAATTTGGAGAATCATGTAACATGCACAAATGCCATGCCAAAACAGAGAGATTAACATATCATGCAAAAAAATCAGCACCGTGAACAATTAACTAACATTGTAAGATTCTTTAAGATTGTTGTGGAAATTGTTCACGTATACTATTTTCTTGCAACACAAGCAAACACATAAGATTAAGAAAACATGCATAGACACATGCAAGCGTCCTAGCCGATAGAATTCACTATCTCTCCTTAAAGAATCTTATTCCCCTCAAGTACCCAAGGTTATGGAATGATTCCTCCCATGATAGAAAGGACGTACCTTTTCCACCGTAGCGGTACCTCAAACCCCGGAAACCATCGAACGCAGCGAACCGGCGAGAACCACACTTGACTCTATTTTCTCTTTGAAAAGAATGCAGAAAACTAGTTTTGGATTTTGGCAGAATTTTCGTATCGGAAAAATCTATGTTTATCTTGTACTCCAAACTAGAGGGGGGTATGGTGCTATTTATAGAAAATGAATGGGTGCATTGAAGGGAGGCAACTCTTCATATGGGTGGTTACACCCCAACCAACGCATATCGTTTTAAAATAATGAACCATTGCATCGGTTTGGTCCATGGTAGTTGGACCGGTTTGGTTATTCCAACCGCCTCATCGGTTTGGTTCGATTTGGTTCAACTCGGTTTGGTTTATTTGGTTAAACAAACCAATTAACCTCATATTACATCAAATCGATCGAATTCGAGGTCATGCCTTCCCACATCTTACCAACATGGTACTTCAAGAGACTCTCTTGGATAGTTCCCCTTTCATTTCCATTCACACCATTAAAAATCTCAACATTCTGTTCATCTTATTTTTCTCGCCGGGAAAACACTACTAAACTTAATCCATTTGTCATCTCTTAATCACAGAAGTCATGCTTCATTGTACGATTTGTAGGTCGGGGTAGCAATAGGGTAGCTCACAGTGTAGCTAGACAGGCCCTGTCTTTGTTCCCGACTACGTGTCGTTATTTTGACTTTTAGGCCTGGCTGAATTTCAGGATGTAATTATCGATTTGATTCTATCAATATATGATTATCTTTTGTAAATAAAAAAAAATTACACTGGTGTGATGTGGCGGCTAACAATTCAAGTTGCAAAAACGTGCATGATTTATAATAGCAAAGACATGCTTAATCACGATTCATAATAAATCTGTATCCACTTAGTCACTAACACACACGATCTAACCCAATATAATACGAAAATACATAGGGATTATAAAAGATTATACATGGATCCATGGTTAATAAACCCTTTTCGGGCCCGCCTGTCTTATTTCCCCCCATACGGGCCACTTACGAACGGGCCTGGACTTTGGCAAGGCCCCTTTCCCGGACCTGAAGAAAGTAGCGAAACGTAAACCAATTGAGCAGGGCATCGAGTACGGATGCGAAAAAGGCCCATTACAGGGAATGAGTCCACAATGGGCAGCACAGTTGCTCGTGGGACCGGTTATTGTAACAACACCCATTGTGTTGTTATTGTAACAACACTAGTCCCCTACCAATAGGAAGCTAGGGATGTGATGACTTTTTATTAGTTGAGTTGACCTAGTGAAAATCAAAACAGGGTATAAATGTCATTATGAAAAATATGTTAAAATAATAAAAATAAAATAATAAAAAATAATAAAATAATAAAAAAAATATTTTTTTATTTTCTGCCAAAAAATTTGGTCACTGGAATTCTGCCACCGGTCGCCGGAAAATGGTCGCCGGTCACCGGAATAGGCTATTTGTCGCCGGAATATGCTATTTTGTGGCCGGAATATGCTTACCGGAGTCGGAATATGCTTACCGGCGTCGGAATATGCTTACCGGCGTCGGAATCTAGTCACCGGGGCCGGAATATGCCTATCGGCGTCGGAATCTGCTCACTGACGGTCACCGGAGTTCGGTCAACGGTCTTCGTTGACCGGTCAACGGTCAACGACCACCGGATGTTATGGTTAGCATTGTGAGATTTATGGTTTGGTTTCTCATATTTTTTTATGCCTTTTATGGTTTGTTTTATTGTGTTTGTGGTTTGCATTGAGAAGTTTCTGGTTTGTTTTCAAAAACTTTGTGGTTTGCATTGTGAGGTTTCTGGTTTGTTTTAATATATTTGTGGTTTGCATTATGACGTTTATGGTTTGCTTTTTGTGGTTTGATTTACTGTGTTTGTGGTTTGCATTATGAGGTTTCTGGTGTGTTTTCGCAAATGTTGTGGTTTGCATTGTGGGGTTTCTGGTTTGTTTTAGGAGATTTGTGGTTTGCATTAGGAGGATTCTGGTTTGCTTTATTGTGTTTCTGGTGTGTTTTCGAATTTTTGTGGTTTGCTTTGCGAGGTTTCTGGTGTGGTTTCGAAAATTTTGTGGTTTGCTTTGTGAGGTTTCTGGTTTGTTTTAATAGATTTTTGGTATGCATTAGGACGTTTCTGGTTTGTTTTTGTGGTTTGCATTATGAGGTTTCTGGTGTGTTTTTGAAAATTCCGTGGTTTGATTTGTGAGGTTTCTGGTTTGTTTTAGAGCATCTGCGGTCTGGTTTACGAGGTTTCTGGAATGCTTTATGTGGTTTGTTTTATTGTGTTTGTGGTTTGCATTAGCAGGTTTTTGATGTGTTTTAAAAATATTTGTGGTCTACTTTGTGATTTTCATCGAAGGTCATTGAAATGAGTGGTTTATTCTGCGTTTTAATAGTATTACCACTGGACCAATTACCAAAACCTTTAGGAGTTGTTTGGATTCAGGTTTTTAATTTGAGAGATTTGTGAGAAATTTTGCCTCAAATCACTCAACTAAAAAACCAGATATTTGTGATCAAGGATTTATATCAAATCCTTTGTTTGTTTAAATATGTGGGTTTTCAATGAGAAAAGCCAAATTTCTATTTTGCCCTCTTTGTTCATCGTCTTCCACGTCGTAGGCATCCCACGGAAGCTCGGAGAACAATCCATTTCCCCGTCGCCCAGCCATATCACCGTCAATAATCGAAGATTGAGGCAATCAGATCTACACCATCAATTGAAAGAAACCAAAAAAGGGTTTCGATCTGGAAGGACAAGTCTCATCGAAGAAGATGGGAAGGGAGGATGTGAATCGTTTGCGGAAGCAATTGTCGCCGGAAAAGGGTAGTGGATCCCTCACTGCTGCTGCATGTCCTCGCTTTCCCTCCCATCATCGGGTTCGTTGTCTCTTCAGTAGCCGAGTTGCCGGAACGAACCCAAAAATTGCCCCTCCCAAAGAACACCCAATCATCGACAAACAATCAGGAGAAAATCGAGGAACAAACCCATAAATCGGCGGAAATCACCATGCCAGAGATCGCCCCAATGAACCCAGAAATTCCCATCCCAAAGAACGAACCCAGATCTCTTCGCCTAGTTCTTGACCGCTCTCACGAGCTTCTTCTTTGTCTAGACTGGTGGTTGGTGGGAGAATGAATGATCGTGGAAGAGGATTATGGTTCGGCGGGCATCGGATTCCGGTCGCGTCTACTGCCTTCTCCGCTCAATTACGCCTCTCCTCTGGTCGAGCGAAATCTGGTTCACTGGGTACTCAATCGCTTGTTCGGCTCCTGCGGCGGCGGGCTATTCAACCGGAAAGAATTAGCTGAAGGAACTCGCTGTTGCGAGCCTGGCGATGGCACCAACTGGCATTGCCAGGAGATTGAACAGGAAATCCACAAAGTCATTCCCTGCTTCAGCACACAAGACCCTCTTATCGTTTTTGTCGATTATCAGCTTCACGCTGAAGCTAGCATCTGTAGCCGCTGCCATCGAACCAACGAATCGACGGGTAACCAGGTGAAGATTTTGTCGATGAGTTCTGGAGGGAGGCTGGGCAAAAGCGGCGGCGAGTGCTGGTCAACCTTCCGTCGGATGGGATTCGACGGTAGTGACTCCATAAAAAAGAAATCGGCGGAGGAGTGCGCACAGGAGGAGAAGCCGTCGGCTTCGGAGGAGAGCGTACGGAGGAGAGATTTTGATGGCGGCATCCTGATAGCAGTGGCAGAGATTCTGCCATTTTGCGTCGCCGGCGGCGGGTCTAGCAGCAGTGGCGGAGGAGTTTGATGGGGTTGTGAAGAGGAAGGGGAGGAGAAGCTGATGGCGACGGAGGAGATAGAGGTCTGGTAGGGGAAGAGGGAGAAACAAAAACACGCTTTTTATTAGTTTTTTTAATTCTAGTTTTTTTAATGTTTTTGTAAGTTTACCCTTATACCCTTGTTGTTACCGTAACAACATACTGGGTGTTGTTATACTATCTTCTCCCGTTGCTCGTAGATTCCTCCGCCGACGCCACCATGAACCGCGATCTCCTCATCCTCGTCATCATCGTGGACACAAAAAGCGGGATCTAAACATATAGCAACCGGACCAATGGTAATGAAAAAATTGGGTTTAGACAAATTCTCAAGGGTTGTTTGAATGTTTGTACGGAAACTGAAATTTGTTGATAACCGTGGAAAATGTTGTGTATTATTACTGAAATCATGTAGGGTTTATATAGAGTATAGAGACTGACTTCTGTTATAACCCTAACACATATATGAAAATTACCTAACTTATACGACTCTGATAAGAAATATAACTCTGCCCTATTACATAATACATACCAGTACTCGTAGTATAACATAATACTACTCGTACTATACATACTCTAATAAAATTAACGTAAGAGGTTCTTATAGTCACTAATCATCAATTAATTTCTTCACAAAATCTCATAATGCAATTAGTGAAGTCTTGGTACACCTTTTTTTACCCATCATTTATAGCGATCGATTATGGTGCTTCATTGTAACAGTTTATTTAAGAGAATGTTCTCATCACATGGTTGGAAGTCGTTGGATCGAGTGTTGAACACTTTGAGACAGTTGGATGGACCACAGTCTCAAAGAGCTTAATGCTCGATCCACTGACACCTATCTCAAGAGCATAGCCACATACCTACACAGAACCAAAATAAACTCTAAAAATTTAGCAATATGGTATTCTTTGTTCTACTCTTAGTTCAGTTGTTTAAATTCACTGAAAATTGCCTCCGGTATATGATACTGTTGTGAGAAGTATTGCTGTAGAGGAATGGAAAACTGTCATGTGCGTTTATTTAATTGTATTAGAAATTAATTAGGGGTTTAGAAGTGAGATTGTGACGTGAATCAGTGGCGTTAGTGGTTAGCTAGAATTAAGGGAATTTAGTTTAGTGATAATTGTTTTGGTATTTTCCGATTAGTTTGCTAGGTTATAGGTTATTAGTTTTAAGTTCTCTATTTAAAGAAGGAGATGTACAGAGGAAGGGGTATCAATCAAGTATAATCAAGAAAAGGGTTTTACACACCTACGTGTTAATTTGGGAGGTTGGCTTTCCTCGAAAAAGCTTAGGGGTTCCGTTCTGGCCATCAAAGGGAACAATTCTCTTTTACCAATCTATCTATCTTTCCTCTATTCTTCTTCTTCCTATTCCAATCTTTCTCCGTAAATCATATTCTACAAAACGTGCACGTAACATTTGGTATCAGAGCCGGTCGATCCTACAACAATGGAAGTTCGTTCAAAATCACTTGAATCTATGTTGGAGGCGATGGTGCACGAGAACGTGATGTTGAGGAAGGTAATGCGGGAAGGTTTTGCTGCTCTTAACGCAAGATTTGATCGGCTACTAGCATGTGGGGCGAAGAAGGAACCTAGCATGAAGCTCGTCAATGGTGCCAAGGGGTTAGGAACCGACAATCAAATGAAGGCGACAATCAACTGCCCCTAAGCTCTCAAGCAAGAGGTTGATGCTGGCGTCGAAACACAAAAGTTGCTCGAACCAATTGTTCATCATCAACATAGTAAGGAAAGAGAAGCCAAGTCCTTCAAGAAGCCACTAGTACGACCAGTACAAATAGCAGTCTTGAACTCCGCTTTAAAGAAGCATAACACGCCCTGGAACAAGAATGCAATTTCACATGAGTGGTTCTATCTCTCCACTTCCCATCTACGTTTAGTGACATCCAGGAGAAGCTTAAGATTATTGTTTGAGCCAAAAGGGGCTAATTATCTGATGGGGAATCATTTGTGGTGGAAAGCAAATTTTGGCAGAAGGTCCCAGTGGTGGTGGCTAATGCTCTATGGAGATCCAGGTTGAAAACGATGTACGAAGTTCATGGCTGATTCTTGTGGTCAAGAATCGTTTCAAGGGGGTGGAATGTCATGTGCGTTTATTTAATTTTATTAGAAATTAATTAGGGGTTTAGAAGTGAGATTGTGACATGAATTATTGGTGTTAGTGGTTAGCTAGAATTAAGGGAATTTAGTTTAGTAATAATTGTTTTGGTATTTTCCGATTAGTTTGCTAGGTTATAGGGTTATTAGTTTAGTAATAATTGTTTTGGTATTTTCCGATGAGATTGTACATACGGAACAAAATAAACAGAAAGAATTAAATTATTTGTTTATGTCTCTAATACGCTCCCGCAAGACGGACGTAGAATCAACTACGCCGATCTTGGACCGCAGAAGAAGAAACCGAGTGGATGGAAGAGGTTTTGTAAGAACATAGGAGACTCGGAGACGCCCAGCCTGAACCAACTGTCGAACAAAATGGTAGTCAAGAGCCAAGTGCTTCATACGCGAGTGAAAAATAGGGTTGGCACTAAAATAAGTGGCACCCAGATTATCGGAGTAGAGGGTTGCTGGTGTAGAGGGAGACTGATGAAGCTCAACAAGGAGATTGCGTAGCCATTTGAGTTCTACCTTAGCATGAGCAATGGCGCGGTATTCAGCATCGGTGCTAGAACGAGCAACGGTACACTGCTTCTGGGAACTCCAGGAAACCAGTGTGTGGCCGAGATAGATAAGATAAGCCGAGGTGGAAGAACGATCATCCTAGTTACCTGCCCAATCAGAATTAGCGTACGCCGAGAGCTGGAGTGGACAAGAGTGACGATGAATGACCAAACCATAGGAAATAGTGCCTGAGATGTAGCCCAACAGCCGTTTGACGCATTGCCAATGATGGGAGGATGGGGCATGCATAAACTGAGAAAGCTTGTTGACGGCGAAGGCAATGTCCGGACGGGTATAAGTGAGATACTGTAGAGCACCAATAACCTGCTGATAATGCGTTGCATCAGTGAAGGGGCTGCCATCATCAGGGAAAGAGCAGCCGAAGAGGCTAAGGGTGTGGCGGCTGAATTAGCATCATGCATGAGAAACCGGTGAAGTACATCAATCATGTATTTTTGCTGAGAGAGAAGGTAACCCGTGGCAGTGGGAATCACTTTGATGCCCAAGAAATAATTAACCGAGCCGAGGGCTTTCAAGGAAAAGCAGGAAGAGAGGGCAGCCTGGAAGGCAGTGAGGGTCGTAGAATCATTTCCTGTGAGTAAAAGATCATCCATGTAAACCATGAAATAGAGAATAATATGCTGTCGTGAGTAAATAAATAGGGAGGCATCAGAGTGAGTCTTGCGGAAGCCATAAGAGAGAAGAAAATCACTAAGAGCTGTATACCACGCCCTTGGAGCCTAACGGAGACCGTAGATGGCACGACGAAGACGACAGACATGAGTGAGTTTGGAGGGAACAACAAAACCTGGTGGCTGCTTCATATAGACTTCTTCCTCTAACAACCCTTGGAGAAGGGCATTGTTGACATCATACTGAAAAATCGGTCAGTTGTGTGAAAGAGCGATGGTGAAAACCGATGGTGAAAACCGGTAAAGTCAAGAGACCAGGGTGCTGAAGAAAACCCTTAGCAACAAGTCGTGCCTTGAACCGTTCAATAATACCTGTAGAGAGAAATTTGACACGAAAAACCCAGTAGCAATCAAGAACATTATAATGAGGCAAGCAAAGAACCAGATCCCACGTATAATTCCGAAGAAGAGCCATGTGTTCAGCAGTAAGAGCCTCATCCCATTCCTTGTACTACAAGGCCTCTTTGACTGAATGAGGTTGAATTGGAGGAGAAGCAGCAGAGTAAGTGGCAGTGAATAACTTTTTGGGCTTAAATATGCCACCCTGAGCGCGGATTGTCATAGAATGAGTGCAACAGACCACTGGTGGCGATCGTGGAATAGAGGCAGTAGCAGGCGGCGTGACTGGCCCAGACAAGGACCGTGGGCTGGATGAAGTAGAGGGCTCGCGCCCAGTGGAGGTGGAGGGATCTGCAACAGAGAGAGCATGCGCAGGAGGGAAGCGGCGACAGATGACCCAGTTGAAGAGGAGTGGGCCGGCGAAGTAGAGTGGCCGATGAAGTGGAGTGGGCCGCTGAACAGGGGCCTGGCATGGCGACAGGAATGGTGGTGATGGTGGGCGATAAGTCTATGAGCCAGGAAGCAGGAGATGGACTGACAGAGGATAAAGGGGAAGAAATTCCTGGAAAAGATGACTCGTCAAAAATAACATGTCTAGAAAAGAAGAGTCATTGGGTAAGTGGATCAAAGCAACGATAAGCACTTCTTTGAGGATAGTAGCCAAGGAAGAGACACGGGCGAGAACGAGGATCAAGTTTAGTGGAAAAGTAAGGCGAAGCCAGGGATAACATAAACAACCAAAGATACGTAGTTTATGATAATTAAGGGAGAGATTAAAAAGAAGAGAATGTGGAATTTTACCACGCAGAGCAGAGGACGGAAGACGATTGATCAAATAAATGGCGGTAGAAAAAGCATACGACCAAAAAGACGAGGAAGTTTAGCATGATGTAGTAGCGTAAGACCAGTTTCAACAAGATGACGGTGTTTTCGTTCAGCAAGACCATTATGTTCAGGGGTGTGTGGCGGAGTCAGAAGATGAGTAATTCCATGCTCGGTAAGAGTAGAACACAGTTTTTGAAATTCTCTGCCACCATCTGTGTACAAGCGACGAATGGTAGTAGAAAAATAATTTTCAACCATTTTCTGGAGGGTAAGAAAAATTTGAAGAACATCAGATTTCTTACGCAAGAGGTAATACCAGGTATAGCGAGTAAAATGGTAAACAATGATAAGATAATAATGAAAACCATAAATTGAAGAAACCGGAGCGGGGCCCCAAACATCTGTGTACAAAAGATCAAATGGCCGACTGCTAGATAATGAGGAAATAGAGAAAGGGAGTTTGTGACTTTTATTAGAAAGACGGGCGTCAAATGTCGTGCTAGCTGTGCAAGATGAAATAGGAAGGGAATGGACTGAATGATATTGGTGAGAGAGGAATGTGAGGGATGACCAAGTCGTGCATGCTAGGACGTTGCCGACGTTCGTGTAGAAACCAAAACCATGAAAACCACCCCTACTTCATGTGGTAACTCGTAAACATCACCTTTGTTCTCCACCTCAACAGATGCGCCCCCGTGCGAAGATCCTTGACAAGAAAATGAGTGCCAAAAAATTCCAACGAAACACGATTAGTTTGACATAATTTAGCTACTGAGATAAGATGTTTCTTAACAGCAGGCACACATAAGACATCTCGTAAGTGAAAAAGGTGAGAACCAGACGAAATAGACGTGGAACCGATGTGGGAGATGGCCAAACCTGTACCATCACCAACTTGAATTTCATCGGGGCCCAAGTAATCGAGTAGAGGGAAAGATTCCCTAAATTAGGGGTTGTGTGATGGGAGGCAGCGCTGTCAATAACCCAGGACCCAAAAGATTGAGAAGGCCCAGGAGTAGTATAATGAACTTGAGAAGGCCTAGAAGTAGTATAATGGACTTGAGTTGCTCGGGCCTAATTGAAGGCTTGCCGAGCCTGGGCAAAAAGCTGGAAATATTGACGCACCATATGACCAGGCCTCTCGCAATATTGACAGCGCACTGGAGATTTGCGTTGCCAAGGAGAATTCGGCTGAGCAGCCACCCGCAGCTACAGAAGAAGTCCGGCCCTCAGAAAAAAAGGGCAGTGACGGAGGACGGCGACTCAAATTACCGCCTGTATTGCCGCCTCCATGAACGCCATTGCCATCGCGGCATGGTTTCCCCTGATAATAAAAGGCAGTTGGGACAGAGGCAGGAGCTTGTGCCTTGAGAACTGCTTCAAATTCAACAAGAGAATCCACAAGATCTTCGAGACAAACAGAGGTGTCTCGAGCCCAAATCACTGCAGAGAAAGAATTATAATCTGGGCCGAGACCACGAAGGCACTGCACAACCAGATCAAGATCCTTTACTGGTTCTTCAATAAGTGCAAGTTCAGCAACTGTGAGTCTCAATTCGTTGACATAGGTGAGAATATCATTGTTCCCCTTAACAGCATTTGCCAATTTGCCTTTCAAATGAATAATACGAGACTGATTCTTGCCAGCATATAATTTTTCAAGAATTAACCAAACATCACGGGAAGTAGCAGTAGTAGAAACATAGGAGTAAACCGATTTGGAGATAGAATAGTGAAGAGCATGTAAGATCAGCTTATCTTGGCGAAACCAAAGACAATACGCTGGATTGGGAGCAGTGCCACCTGAAAAGGAGCTTGAGACAATATGGAGCAGCTCCTACATTAGTTGCTGGCCTCAAGGAAGAAGATGAAGAGTTGCCTTGCAGATGAAGAAGTGCAGAAGAAGAAGAAGACTGTGACGTCGTACAAATGGAAAAGAGGAAAGAAGAGAAGCAACGCACCGTTTTGGATTGAATCGTTGGTTTCAAGTTTTACTGTGTAATTAGCCACCTGTACAACATTGATTGGTTAGTTAGAAAGTTAGTTTAACGGCTAGTGAACAGTTAGTGTAAATGGTAGATTAACGAAGTGTATATATGCTTTTGTCAATGGAAAAGCTCATCATGAGCAATTT